TGGTCGAGGAAGTACTTAGTTAAATACTAGCTGGATACATGGCTAGGTGTTGAGAGATGAGGTCTGGCTCCATCGCTGTGGATTTGAGTCATAACCTTGAACAAGCTGATCATTTCTTTGGGCGTCAGGCACCATTTCTGCAAAGAGGGGCGTAATGCCTTCCCTGCTTCACCTGATTATCCCAGTGAGCACAGAGCACCAGCTGCACGGTGCTTCGTTCACTGCGTGACACTGTGCCGTTCTCCCTGGTACAGTAGCCCACATTGTTGAACCACACCCAGGAAGGAGCCATGGTACCTGCTGGACCCATGCTCTGAGCTGAGTTCCCACCCATAGCATGGGGTGCCTGAGCCACTTGTACGCAGTGACAGTCAGGGACAGAGGCTGCGAGAGGAGGGGAGGAGAGAAGGCAGAAGTAGAAGGCAGCTCTGCTGAGCTTTCCTACTGAGGGTGTGTGAACTGCCTGCGCGGCATGCTGGGGACACTCAACAGTGTGAGCTCCCAGCACTTGCCTTCCTCGGTCCCTTTGCCACCTTCTTGCCCTGAACGATCAAATCCTGACTGCTAACCCGTCGAGAGAGGAAGCTATGGGCCAAAACCTAGACCATTCACTCTAGACAAGCACTGAGCTGCTCACAAACTCAGTCTGTAATGGAATATTGTTAGCTATAGAAATGAATGAGGTTCTGATAGCCGAGATCCTGCTATGCCACTACAGGGAAAAACTTTGAAGATGTAACGTTAACACTCCAGACACTAAACTCCATGTAGTGTGTGACGCCATTTACAAAAAATACCCAGATAAGCAAGTTCCGAGACAGAAAGTACCTTCACGGTTCCCAGGAGATGAGGTGAGGGGGCATGGGGAGTGAGTAGTGGGTACAAGGTTGCTTTTGGGGCCTATGAAAATGCGGGCATAGCACCGTGGCCTGTGTGCCAGCAGCTCAAGGAAGACAAGGTGCACCTGGCAGCTGGCAACTGAAGATTGGCACAATTTTTACATTGCTTTGATTTCTCTCCAAATCTGATCCTTGCTTTTTTTTTTTTCCTTTCTCCTTTCTCTAAGTAGTATTTACATCCTAAAAGTCCTCGTGGACTTGAACAGTTGTTTTCAGGGTTGTGATGGTCAAAGCCATTGCCCAAGGGATGTGTTGGCCAGAAGCATTCTGACATTCTGGGGTGTGGGGTGTCCCATTAGTAGGGGTGCTGTCTTTAGCTTGCCCAGTGTTCCCAATGCCTGGGCTTCCAGGTGAGTGCTTTCCCTGCACTGCTAGCCCACTCCTGCACGTGTTGGAGCTGACCTTGAAGAAGCCCGTCTCTGCAGGAAAGGCTGCCCCCCTACGCCACTGCCACAGAGCGGCCAGTTTCTGGAGCCCACTCTCAGAAGTTTCCACCTCTGGAGACAGCCTGGAGGTGGACACGAGCCTGACTGGGTCCCTCTCCATGCAGAAAGACCCAACTGCTGTGGGCATCAATGGCTGAGGAGGAGCCGAGGGGGACATAGCTTCTGTGGTGTAGTTTCCAGACCAGGGCAGGAAACGAAGGCCCAGTGAGGCTCACGCCTTGGCCTTCAACAAGGCCCTCCACACTCCTGCTCCATTATGCTCCCCTAGTCTCACCTTCGACAGTCCGCAGACAGCTCACACCAAAGCCTTGGCACTTCTGTCTTACCCATCTCAACCCATCCAGTTCCCTCGGACTCTACAAATGCACCGAAGCCATCATCGGAAACGGTCAGCTGCTGAAACAGTCTCCTGATAGGTCTTGCACAATAGGGTTTTTTTTTAAATGTCATTTACAAACTCATTTCTCAGACTACAGATGTGTGGCCCAGTACCATCAGTATCCGCTGAGTTCTTAGAGATCCAGAACCTCAGCCCCATCCCAGATCCCTCTAAGCTGAAAGAACATTTAAAACTTTTTTAAAATTGAAAGTGGGTTTTGCTTTTGGGAGCAGTTTTGGGTTCCTATCAAAACTGGGTGGAAAGTAGAAAGGATTCCCATGGACACTGTCCGGAGAGGTTCATGGCCTTCCCTCCCTTCGACATTCTGCACAGGTGGGGGGATTTATCTCCATCCGTGAGCCTGTGCTGACATCATTATTACCCAAAGTCCAGAGTTCAGGGTTCACTTTTGGTGGTGTCCACTCTACGAGTCTGAAAAATGTATAATGACTTATATCCAGCATTATAGTATTATGCAAAATAGTTTCACTTCTCTAAAAAATCCCCTGTGCTAGAAACTGCATTTCAACAAAACTCCCAGGTGATTGGTATGCAGTTGCAGCATGCACAGCTCTGGAATAGAGCAGGCCACTCCCCTCCTAGAATTCCTCCAGGGCTCTTGAATACAACTCAGGCTCTTAGAGGGCTGCAAGACCTGGGCGCACTGGGCCACCTCCCTCCCAGCCCCCACCTCACTGTTGCTCCTCCAGCGGAGAAGACAGCAGTTCCCCTGGCAGCACGGTTCCTTGCCTTCAAAGCGCTCATCTCTGCGTTGGTCACATTGTCACTGCAGCGATTATTAGATTTCTTTTCTCCTTCCTCCCAACAACCACAAGTTCCATGAAAGCAAGAGCTATGTCCATTTTGCGCAGTCTGTCCCCAAGACCAAGAAAAATGTCCTGTGTATAGGACATACTCAATGCTTGTTGAATCCAATGATTAAACAAAAGAATAAACACTCTCCCCAAAAGCCTTCACCTTAGGCTGTTGTCCTGGCGGGGACATAGCCCATAAACCTCTGTCTATCACCCACCCACCTCCATCCATCAAGTCTGCTCTGGCTGCTCTGCTGCCCGGGTCCCTCTTTTCCCAGACCCTGGGCTCCTACAGTCAGAGACCCCACACTCATCGCCCTCTGCTTGTTTTATGTGGGTTAATGTCGCTTTTCCCGACTGACATATGCAAACCTCCTTGAGGGCAAAAATTCTGAGCTCAGCTTTTGTGGCCCACCTGGCACAGGTAGATGTTTGGGCCTAAGAAACTTACAAGTGCTCTGTTGACTCAGCAACAGTAATCTCTGGGTGTAGCTGTAGAACACGGGGCTTTCTTTGACACCTTCCTTAGCAGCATGAGCCTCCCCTTCTGCTTACCTCTGACTCTAATTTTCCTGGTACAATTATAAAATCTTCATTTAATTTGTTTAATGCTTTCCTTCTCTTCTGTAGTGCCCCTCCATTTCTGGGTTTATCCTCAATATTCGATTTCCTTGTAACACTTCACTTTGAGAGGCTTTCCCACTTCCCAGAAGAAAAGTGTACTTTTGTAACTACTGGGATTGTCATAAAACTGTCAAATATAAAAACTGATGTGAAAACTGAGAAACTTGAGCTCTGCTTCTCTTGGTTCTGACGATGCTAAAATAGCAGGTTTTACAACTCAGAACATAGAGGCTATTTTATTTTTTTGAATTTTTTTTTTCCCGGTACCGGGAATTGAACTCACAACCTTGCGCTTGCTTGCCAGGCAGGCGCTGTGCCGCTGAGCTAAGTACAAAAGTATAAAAGTACAGCCCCGAGGCTATTTTAAATGTAAAGAAAATTTTAAATCTTATCTTTCTAACACTGGAATATTTCTAACACTATTCAAGGATGAGACTGGAAAGCACAGCTGGTTCTCATAATTAGAAAGGCACAAAACTTAACGTGCCTGATGCTCCAGGAGCCAGCTGCAAGGTAAGGGCAGCTTAGCCAGATAATGGTATTTTGCTTACTTTGGAGTCCCAGAGAGTTTTCACCTCAAAGATACCTCTGCCCGGTCTCAGATAATGATTGACTCTTCCCCCATGTTATATGATAGTAACCATATTAGTTTCTGTAAGAGTAAATTCTGCCTAGCAATTAACGACAAAGACATGTGTAACCAAGTATAGAACATTATGTTATCTGCCTTTTTGTACTTCCTTCTGAAAAACTATACAAGTGACTGGTAACCTCAAAACGGGGCTGGTGATTTGGAACTGAGATTCCCACTAGCCCATTAGAGTGATAAAGCTGCATTCCAAAGTTCCTCTGGTGCTGTTGTCTTCCTTTAGTCTAGTCCTGAATTCCTCAGCAAGAACAAAACACTTAAAAGTACCACCACTTCAGGTGATCTGCATGTTCTTCCTTCCCTTCTGCCTCCCCTCCTCACATTTTCATAATCTGGGCAGCTTTGAAGTGAGCAACTTTAACATAGGATCTGTTAACTATGTGAAGCTTGACACCCATCCTGCCCTCCTCTTTATTTTTGAGCAACCAGGATGGAAACAGCTACATAGAAAGCAGATATGTTTTTCTCACTTTAAAAAATGAAAATAAATCTTATCCTGCCAGTGGGGTGGAGTCCTACCTTTCTTGACATTTCCCCAAATCCAACACCTTTAAGACCACCTGAGCTAGAATAAAAGCCCCTAGAAGTCAAAGCACTCTGCTGGACACACAGGAAATACTTATGTAGTCAATTGAAAATAACTAAAAAATTTGTGCTACATCTGATACCACTTAATGTTAGATACCAGTGTTGACAAAGGGCATCAGGCTCTAAGGCATAATAATAAATATTAAGAGATTTAACGTTAAACGTCTCATGTTCCTCAGGTATTCCCCACCTCCTCCACTTGCAAATGATGGTCTCATCATTGTGCAATCAGAGAGACAGAGAAAGCAGATCGCAAGGCCAACAAAGATCTCTGGCGCATCACAGCACACCAAGAACTTCTAGCGTTCACAGACAAGGCCACACCTCTAAACTAGCCTTCCTGGTTTTGTTAAAATAACACTGCCCTTACCCCTTCCATGAAGGTCTGGGTTCTTGGGGTAATCTGGCTACGGACTTGCTGTCTGACCCTCGGTGGGTCCTTCAACCTCTCTAGACCACATTTTTCTTAGTCTTAAACTGTGCTGAGAACCCTAGCACAGGTCTTTCCGGTTCACAAGGTGACAGATGATCGCACAGAAAAGAGCAGCACCACCTTTCTCTTAGACCGAGGTCCCAGGAAGTTTCCTGAAAGTTGCTTACCTGAAGCCAAGTACAAAAGGCCAGCTAACACCAGCAGCCGAGAGAGCATGAGGCCAGGTGTTCCCTGCCTCCGTGTGTGACCCATGGTCGGCAGATGTTTAGGACAGAAAAGGGAAGCCGATAACTTAGAGCCAAGGGGGGCTCGGGTGCCTCCTGGGAACACGAAAGGAGCCCACACGGGGCAGCCCAGATGCCTGGGTGAAACGCTCGAGGCAGAAGCAGAAGACAATTCAATCACTCCACACAGGAGACTCTCCGGTGCTGGTTTCAAAACACGCCGAGGACAAGTTGGAGAGTGTTCCTGGGTCTCCAAAGGTTGTAGATTTATTTTTTTACAATCTGAAAAAGGAAAAAGAAATGTAAGTCACCCCAGAAGGAAGGTCTGCCTACGATGGCCAGAAAAACTCTCTCACTAGTCACCTAACATGAGTCAGGGCTCCTAACTTGAATGACCTTGCAAGCAGGGCACGAGAAGGAAAAGCGAGGAAGTGACCGTACCAATCACCTCGGCTTTTCTGAGAACCAAGTGCGGCTCTTCCGTGAAATGGTCACCCATGAAATGGTAAATTCGGGTGGGAGTGCAGAGACCCCAAGGACCCTCATGAGAGTGAGCCTCCCCAGGAAAACTCAGACCCTCTTGGGGACACACCAAGGACACAGAGCAGCACAGCAAGGGTGTATTTGTCCAAAGCAGTCGTTAAGTTTTGAAAACTTTCTCAGTATATACAACCCAGGAAAACCAGGGCCTCGATTCTTAAATACCTCAGGTCAAACAGGGTACGAAGTAGGGTAGAGGGTGTCAAAGAAACAAAGAAGTTTACCAGTAAAAAGGGAGGGGAAAAAAAGACCTGCAGAGACCATACTTATTTGTATTATTTGCTGTACTGTGAAGAAGTTGTTTTTTTCCCCAGTAAATATATCAGTATTGAAAAATGAAAGTGAATGCTGTGCCCCGCTGTCAGCCTTCTGTGAGTCAGTTGCCAGCCGTGCAGTCAGTCCAGAGCTCACCAGATGTGTGGGTGTCCTGCTTGGGAGCTGCCCCAGAGGAAAGGTCCCAGCCACACCACATAGATCGTTTCATTAGTTATAGTCCATCTTATCCACGCAGATCTCGGAAGGACTTTGCCACCAGAATTTCATTGGTTTGAAAAACTCAAACTCAATCTACAAAAAACATTTGCTACCATCTAGGAAATCTAAAAGTAATGGACCACAATTCTGATGGTAGTTCTCTAAAAGTATTGAGAGGCCACACCCTCCTTTGGGAATAAGAGACCTCAGAAGGTCTTCCTTTGAGGGGAAGTGTGCATTGTGGAGGGATGGTATGTTTACTTAAAAAGGAGTTGCTGGATGTGATGGTGGACAGTGGTAATCCCAGCTCCCTGGGAGGCTGAAGCAGGAGAATGGCAAGTTTGAGCACAGCCAGCACAACTTAATGAAACCCTGTCTCAAAATATAAAAGAGGCTGAGGAAGTAGCTCAGTGGTAGAGTGTTTTCCTGGTATGCTCAGTCCTAGTACCAAAGCAGGGAGAAAAGGCAGTTATTTTGTTAGTAACTAGTTCTACCAAGTTATCCCATAGTAAGGTAAGAGTAGATGTACTTACTTATGGAAGAAAAGTTCCTCCTTTTCTTTTGTGTTAAAAACCAGAGGCTGATGCTCCCCTTTGGGGATGTTCTTGTCTTGCTGTCTTCAGAGTAATGACAAGCCACTCAGCAAAGAGGTGGCATTTCTCCCTTCTTACTTCCCCTTTACTTTGGATTTGAGGATTTGAGTTCACTCAGAAATATTTCCGTTGATTTCGGGGCCGGGGACAATACTGTCATGGTTTGAGGAAGCTCTCTGCTCTGGGTCCTCTGTCACCTCCTCAGAGGGTGTGGCCCGGGCAAGTCAGAGCAAGCCCTCTTTACCACTGCCCCAAGGAACAAACGAGGCCCTGGGTGCACTGGCACCTGGGAGGGGGCAAGGAGGAAAGGCGCCCAGGAGCGGGAGGGGCGCCCCCCAGCTTGACTGGGGCGGTGCTGTGTCAGCTTTATGGGCTGCCTGTTTCTGCCCTGGCCTCAAGTTTTTATTTGTTTGCCTTGTTTGATGCTGGTGACTGAACTCAGGAAACTTAGTGCTACAGATCCAGTCCTTCTCATTGTTTTTACTTTGAGACAGGGTCTCAGTAAGTTGCCCAGATTGGCCTCAAACTTGCGACCCTCTTGCTTCAGCCTCCTGAGTAGCATTGGATTACTACTACTATGCATGCATCACCATGCTCAGCTTTAAATTTTGTTTTCATAGCCATTATTATCCCTTCTGGGGCACTGTCAGGCCACTGCGGGAGGGGCCATCTACTGCATATGTAGTGGACAATTTGGAGAACACTTAGGCCCTTGACCATCCTTAACTACACAATCACACCCTCTCTGCCATCTTCACAGAAGGGGCACGGTTGAGTGCACTTTGGGTGAGTGAGATGACAGCACCCGGGGTGGGGTGAGAAAGATTTTAGTCCCTCCACCACCCCTCTTTCCAACCAGCCCACCAGCCTCTATGTAGATCTGGTGGGACCCACAGACAAGCAGGTGAGCCTGCTGAGCCGGGGTACCAGTCAGCACAGGAAGAACTGGACAGCCCTTCACTGGGCCTGTGTCTCCTCCGGCCCCACACACAGCTGCTTTGTTGCCTTGGCACGAGGACACACTTGGAAGTTCTGCGCTAACCAGGTGCAACTCAGCAATTTGGGGAAGCCAGTGCTAATGATCTTGAGCAAAGCTGGCTAGGAGTGGATGAATAACTGCATCCCCCTTTGTCACACAGGTGGAGCATTCTGAGACATCAGGGGGCTCCCCGGAGGCTGTGATGGGGCCGGGTACCCTCTGCTGCAGCAGCTGTCCACACAGTAAGTGTCCGTACACTCTCTCTCCTTCCCTCTCCACTTTTTCATCCTGAACCTCTGGTCTCAGATTGCCAAATAAACAGTTTCACTTAGGTCTGTGTCTCTAGTCGTGCTTTCCAGAGAATCTAGGCCATGGCCTGGTACCTGGTATGGTTAGAAATAGAATAGTTTTCCTTCTAAAGTACTTGTAGAAGTAATAAGGTGAATTTACAGAAGAAGAAAAAGGAGAGAAAATAATAGTAGATACAGTACATACACATGGTGAATGTGCTATGGAAATATCTAAGTTTTTGAACTTAAATTCTACAGCAGAGAGCAGAATTTAATTTGAAAGCTATTGGAAAATAATCCTGGGGGGCGGATCACAATTTAAGCTGCTACCCATTCAGCATTTCTCAGTGTTATTGAAAGGCACTGAGATCTCATTAAATGAAAAGCTGGCCAGAAGGAATGACAGAGTTGTGAAGCCTGTGAGTATCCCTAGGGCAGGGAACAGTGCAGCTCACCCTAACGGAAGGGAAGGAAAAAATAAAGGCACTCCCACAGCAGGACTGTGTGAGACTCTGATCAGGCTGAGATGCATCGTGAGCCCTGCGAGCACTGGCTGCAGTTAAGATGACTCATACGCACAGAGTAAGCGGCAGCTTTCAGGATGTGCAGAGAGGTGTCCGGCAGGCGGGCCCTCTTCCCAAGCATCACGCCTCCTACAGCCTGCAGGTGCGCCTTCCCGGCCACCAGACACAGTTGGGTACCTGAATCCCTGTGGGACCCTGGACATTTTCAAAAGGTATATGGCACTGATCGGGTTGAGAGAATCAATTCCAGGTTGTCACCTTTTTCTCCCCCACATTCCTAAAGCTTGAAGTGAGAAGGATTTTGGCCTACTCCCTATTGAAAAAGAAAAGCTTACCTCTTGCCTAACCTATTATTGAGGGAGAACATTCTGGAAAGTAAAATATTTCAACATGTCAAGTAAAAGGGCAATTTGAAATACAAATGCTTTAATCAATGTAGTTTCTATAGAAAAGTGCAAGGTAGGGCTCGGGGCCCTCCGATTTTGCCTATAGTTCTGTTAGTTGAAATGTGGCATCGGAAAGAGATATCTTGTAGAAGGGAGCTGTGGGAGAGGTGGCAGCTTTTATTTCATGAACTTTGCCTCTTACTTCCTGGGTCTTGTCACAGACATTGTCCCTCTGATAGAGGCCAGAAAGAAATCAAAGAAGGTAGCAGAGAGAACCCAAGCCCACGGCAAGGTGCAGTGGGCTACCGCTCTGCCCACCGCAGATGAGGAATTTTTAAGCTTTGAATGCAGACAGACAAAATCTGCTGGGACTGCAGCTCACTGCATTTTCACTTTCTCTCTTTGGAGAAGGGATTTGATTAGTATCCTCCTTCACCAGTGACTTGGTCTGGCTCTCCTCTGTAGAATTTAAATAATCACAAGAAGAAAGGATATAACCACTTCCACCCTACCTCTTAATCAACAGTGCATTCTGAGGGGCTGGGGATTTAGCTCAGTGGCACAGTGCCTGCCTGGCAAGCACAAGGTTGTGAGTTTGATTCCTGGCACTGGAAAAAAAGCCAAAAACAAAACAGTGCATTTTGAAGTAAAGAGCATCAATATCAGAGATGCTTGTTTTATATCTTCTTTTTTTTGTTGTTGTTGTTTTTTTTGTTTGTTTGTTTTCTGGTACCGAGAATCGAACTCACGACGTTGTGCTTGCCAGGCAGGCACTGTGCCGCTGAGCTAAATCCCCAGCCCCATTGTTTCATATCTTCTTGAACCTTTATCCAGCCCTTACAAGAAATGCTATCTCGCTCTGATTTTTGCGAGTGTGTGCTACTTTCACTTCTGATGAATACATTTAAGGATGATGTAACTTTATTCAAACATGACAATATTCTATTACATTGAAAGTTACATCCTTTGCAGATATTTAAAGCAATATAAAATTGTAAATGTTCACTTGAAAATCAGCAAAGAAATACATACTTTTATGAATTTCATTTGGGGATAGACAAGCAAAAAATTTTGCAGAATATAAAATGCGCTCAAGTTTTAAGAGTTCCAATAGAATTCTAACCTGCTTTGGAGAAGCACAGATTAAACAAACTTTGCTTTCAGCACCTTGATGTGAATTAACCAGAAAGACGGGAAAGAAAGGGCACCACCGGCAGGACCTTTACAGCTGCTGCGCACTCACCCCACAACACCCTCCGATGCTGTCTGGTTGTAAAATAGGTTCCTGGTTGCAAAGCATGGGAGACTTCTTTTCCAAGATGGGGCACTAACAAGATGTGTTTAATCCCTTTTCCTCTGGAAATCCCACTAAATTAGTATTTTAAAAATTAAAGGTATGTCTTAGTTATACTGAGAATAGAATAATCTGTGGAGCAAAGACTTCTGGGGTACACGTCCAGAGACTAAAAAGTAGATGCATTGTGATGGGTAAGGCA